ACTGAAAATTATGGTAGAATCATAAAAAAACCTCATACCTCGAAAAATACAAAGATTTTAGCAGTCATATTTGGAGGCAAGATTCCCAGCCCCTATGAATACCCAGAAAGATAGATAGAAAGAAATAGAAAGATAGAAATAGAAAGATAGAAATAGAAAGATAGAAATAGAAAGATAGAAAAAGATAAAAGAAAGATGGAAAAAAAATAAAAAAAAGAAAAGAAAAAGAGCAATAAAAAGATAGAAAAAAAGATGAAGCTAGATAATAAAATTGAAAAAAAAATAGATAAAAGGTCGAAAAAGAAAGATAAAAGATAGAAAGATGAAAAAAGATTAAAAAAATAGAAAATCCAGATAAAGAGAAAGAAAGATTGGAGGCAACCATTTGACTTTAGTACTATTTTGATTTAAATAGTTGAAACCAAATTGAAAGTTAACATAACAAATTAGGAGACCGGTAGACAGACATAATCAAGTTAATTAAAAAAGCAGGTATACAGACAGACAGACATACTTAATTTGGCCTCGAAAAAAAATACTGAAAAAATAATGACCTTGCGGAAAACTAATTGAAAATTTTTCTTAAGCATTGCAGTATATGATATAGCTTAAACATGCAAAATTATTATGCTTAAACATGGGAGATAGCTGCCACTCGCATTTGAATATAGTATAGATAGATTGTGACAAACAAATGCTTCTCAAGAATTAAAAAATTCGTTCGCGGCACTTTTAGCAGGCTGGATAGCCTTCAGTGTCCACTTAATCTGATGCTCTTCAAATGTTAAATTATAAAGTTTTTTACTTCTGCGTAGCGCGCATAGCTTGATAAAATTTTATTATTAAGATTATTTTTATCAAATTTTCAAGAACTTGAGCACAAGAGCAGTCTGCACATGAAATATACCACTCCTACTAAATGGATCTTTCGAACAAAATTTTTTACGGGGAAAAAGTCTAGCACGCCGTTGCAACACCTTTTGCTTGCCGCAATGGAATTCACAATTGATTTTCTAATAATGGAACCAAAAGGCAATAAAAATTGACAAAGAAAAACTATTTCTTCGCAGAACTAGCCAGTCAGGTCTGCGTCCCACCCTCCCTACTTTGGCATCATTTTTGCGTACTTTCATTCCTACTATGCGCACACTCTGGCAATTTTGAATGGGCGGCACGGCAGCTGAAGACGCTTTCGCGTGACAAATGCGCCCTTCGGGCGCAATTATAATGCTCAGTCAACACTGGACATGATTGCTTAAAAAACAACAACGATTTTTTTCTTTCCCGTTTCTGGATAATTGCGAGTCGGATTCTCTTCTACTGGGCCCTAAAGGGCCCACAGAGCATCCTGCAAGACTGTCAATCTAAAATTTTCAAAAAAATTCATGATTTTTTTTCTTCATTTTTTTGTTATTGTTTCATCAATTTTATTACCTTCTATAACAACTTTTGAACATTTGCGGCAGCTTACAATGCATGTTATTAGTTCACACTTTCCATCTGGCTATATATGACCTAAACTACTGTAGCTCATGTAGAACAGATCTGAATTGAAATTTTTTTTACTACAAATTTCAGTTAAACGACCAAATAGGAAAATTATAAAAGCAAAAAACTCCACAAAAAAGAAGTTTTCAGCGTTTTTGTCACAAATTCTTAAACATTGCCCAACGGGAAACTCGTTTTTAAATCAAAATCCATTATTTTTAACTTACAAAATTTTTCATTTTTTGAATATACCATTGATAGAAAATGTTGAGTCAGAAACGTGAAAAATTAAATTTTTTCAAAAAGTAAAAAAAAACTCAAATTAATTCATTGGGCCAAACCTTAGGAACCTGTTCAGAATGGTTTTCATCTTCAAAGCCGCAAAGTCGAAAAAACACATTTTTAGTTAACTCAAAAAAGTGGGAAAAGGGGTCTTCAAAATGAAACCATCCAAAAAGTGGCATTGACAAACTGCCATTATTTCCACGATCTAGGGTAGCATGGAAAAAATTAAGGAAACTAAGGAAGCCCCTACCCCCTCTGAATGGGTTTACATAGCGTCGTGGGCACGCGCCCATCGAGCGCAATTGAAAATGTAGATTATAATTCGTACTCACAAATTTTCTGTTATATTTTTCCATAAAACTTTCTGTATAAGCAATGCTTCTTCTTAATGAGTTTCTTTTGAATGTATTGAAAAAAAAGATCAAAAAGGATCGCTAGAAACTTCACAAAATCAAATTTTTATGCCATTTTTTACGGGGAAAAAGTCTAGCACGCCGTTGCAACACCCTTTGCTTGTCGCAGTGGTATTCACAAATGATTTTCTAATAATGGAACCATACGGCAATAAAAATTGACAACGAAAAACGGTTTCTTTGCAGAACGAGCACAATTAAAAATATAGATAATAAATCGTACTCATAAATTTTCTGTTAAATTTTTCCAAAAAATTTCAGTTTAAACAATGCTTCTCAATGAGTTTCTTTTGAATATATTGAAAAAGTGATCAAAAAGGATCACAAGAAACTTCACAAAATCAAAATTTTATGTCGTGAAACAAAGCCGACACCCATCAAGTCATAATTGCAAAAACTGAACTAATCTGAAGGACAATTGCAAACAATTTTCAAAAAAAAAGCATTGCCAGGCTCATATATATACGAGTTGTCAATTGAATGCCTCTGGGTTTATCATTCAAAAAGTCAGACGACAAAGGTTCAATCTAAACTAAGGAACCCGAAAACTTATCGGCAGAAAAATAAATTATTCAGTTCGATCTTAAAACATGTACAAAAGCGAAGCTCCGCTTCACACTAGTTGCGATATAAAGAAGAAAGCTGCCAATTCGAAATAACTAAGTCGCAACTGAGTCGGTAAATAACTAAGTCGAAAAAAAGGTCGAAAAAACTAGATCTTTCTAAATGAATAAGACTTATTTTGAAATCAAAACATTTCAAGGCAACAGAAAAGGAAATTAGCATCGAAAAAAAATTGCCAAGCGGTAACAAGGCCGAAAAAACTTGAGCAGAAAACCTTTAAGCCGTAGAAATCATCAACACTTCAGACTTATATAAAAAATAAGAATTCCCTCACCCTGAAAACCCACATATACACAAAACTTTATTTGCTCATCAAAGAAACAAAATCAGGCCACTAAGCCGATATTATATAGGCCAAAACCTATTAATCTGAAAAAGTAAAAAAAAAAACAAACCGAAAAAAAAATTCAAAAAAATTTATGACTAATAAAAAACTATTGTCCCTCTCACCCTCAAAACATACAGACGCACACACACATTTTGAAGGCCAGATGAGGCCATCAGCCAATTTACTACAGGCCAAAAAAAAACAAAAAAATTGTGTCTTGATAAATTTTAATTGCTATTTAAATTTTAGTAATTTTTTTTGCAATCCACAAGGAAGTATAAAAGTTGTTTCCGTCGAAACGATTCAAAATAAGGTCAATTAGCCTATAAAATAAAATCCAAAATCAATAGGGCTGAAAAATTAATAAAGCAAAAAACAAACAAAATAAAGAAAATATATGAAGTGAAAGTTAGTAAAAATTACAAGCAGCAGAAGTAAATCAAAACATTGAAAGCAGCTTCAATGTTTATTGCGTACAGTGAAAAATATTCTGCGGTGTCGCAACTAAGCAGAAACCATAGGCTGCCATATTTTAATTTGAAGCGGAAAAAATCCCGTTAGAAAAAAAAACAGTTCCTGTTAGATTCGAACCCAAGAACTTTGCCATCCCAAGCGTATTCGTTACCTCCAGACCAAGTGTGCCGGAGACGCAAAGAATTTTGATTTCGTTATGAACTGAACTTAAATTTACCATTTCTAGTTTTGAACATTTTGTTAACAAAGTTATTTACCGGATAAAAAGTCTAACATCCGATTGTAAAAAAAAACATAGCGAGCAGACAGTTAGATAAAGTGTCGATGAACGCAAGTCAACAAAAACTACCAAAATGTTTTTAGAAAAAATTCAAACTTTCGAATCGCAACTTTCAAAGGAAAACATAGCGAGCAGACAGTTGGATAAGGTTAATGAACTCAAGTAAACAAAAAAATGCTGAATTGTTTTCAGAAAAACTCCAAACTTTCGAATCGCAACTTTCAAAGGAAAACATAGCCAACAGACAGTAAGAAAAGAGTCAATGAACGCAAGCAAACAGAAAACAATACTGAATTGTTTTTATTTAAAAATCTCAACCTTCGAAAAAATAGATGGATTTGAGAATACTAGGTCAATAAGAAAAATTCTCATTTCACAGGGAAATCTGATAATTAATATCCGCTTTCGAAGTTAAAAGTCGATCACATTTTTCGTGACCTTTACAGTTTTGCTGTTCGATAGTGGAGCTTGCTTTCTTTTTAGCAATGGAAAAGAAATGAACATAAAAAGAATGGCTATTTTCTGTCATCTTTTAAAATCACTTTAAAAATTTTCGTTTATCAATATGTTTCCTACTAAATAATTCGGGTAGTTTCCGTTGCAAAATTGTTGTAGCAGTTTGAACTGCAGAGAAATGCATACGTTGATTTGTAGTTACGAAATGTATCATTCATCTTTATTGAAAACTTTACTCAGTCAGATCCTTGGAAAAACGTCTTTTGTCATCTAAATAATTTTCACTTCAATTGATCTCGTTGTATACCAATATCTGAACATGTGGTCAAAAAAATCATCTCGAACTATTTAAAAGCCCGAACTATGTTCATCGACTCAAAAAACTAAGAACGGAAACTAATAAGCCGACCAGAATTGAGACGATAACCAGTAAGCCGAAAAAGTGGAAAGACACCAAAAAGTACATATCGAAAAAAGCTTAGGACTGTTAATGGGGGCGCTTACGGAATTTCCAGAAAAAAAATGTCCAATGTAGAAAATTTCCCGAGCTCAAGACATCTGCTCTTGCAATAGAGCACTAATTTTATGACTGCTAAAGGATGAAGTTTTGCGTCAAGTCGGATCGCTAAATTATTTTATTAGTTGTTTAAAATTGATCAAAGAATATTTATATTCATTCAGAATGTACATTACTTACAGGTGTGGGGTTTATGATACAGCAAATATCTACAAATTGAGATTTTTCAGAAATGAACTAATAGAGCTTGAGATGTGGGGGGATTTGATTGGTTTTCTTAGTTTTCTGCACAGGTTAGAGTTTGTTGTTGCACTTGTGCACAAGTAGAGATCTGAGGTCGTTGTCCATGTGACCTCTTACGTCTTCCACTCTCCACTTCATCAAGTAGTGACTGTATTCTCGCTCAGCCGCAACCTACAACATTACAACAGCACGAAGCTATCTAACTTCAGCTAACTTTTATGTTGGTTCCCAATATATTTCATGTCCTTAAAGATCAACTCAGAACAAAAAATGAATGGCATTTGGGCCACATGATGCGGAGCCACTAACACAAAAATGCTCCTAACACAGTTGCGCAATAATATAGAATGCAAGAGGATGGGTTTAATGGAACACTTTTCATCATCAATGTTGTTTTTGTGTCTTGTTAATTGTGAACAGCCACAAAGTAATCACCTAGTTATCGTACATGTTGAAGCTTAACTCCATCTATAGTCTTTCTTCACAGAAAAATTTTTGCTTCATTGATTTTGCATGCTGGTAAAGAAAGAGTGGGTCGGGGCACAATTGGTCAATAAAGAATTAGCGGATGGTGATGGTGGTGAATGTATTGTATTGTATAAATAATGCTGACCTGGTCGAGAGTGGGGATTGAGTGGGGCTGGGGTTCTATCTGGGGTCTGAGGGTGGTGCTCGGAGTGCCCCCTGACTCCACTTTGATCTTCTTCAAGGCTGCTGCTGCTGATGATGATGTTGTAGCTCTCACTGCCTGCACCCCAAATGACTCAGCCATGTGTCTATTCGCATGAGACTGCAGCTGAGCTCTAAAGTTATTCAACGCTTAAATACATGAAATTGTCACAGTGAGATCTCTAGTTATTCTCTTGCTGTGTTGTTGCTGTTTTAGCCTCGCGCACAGCTTTTCGCTTCTTCATTTCCAGTGTACATGATTTATTCAATAGAGGCAGCGCATGAATAAAAACTTTACGTAGATTGTTTTTTGGGCTGACCAGATTATCCCGCACTATTTGAATATATGTTTGGTAGAAAAATTCTGCACCGCAAAAATATTAGAGAACTTTTGCAAAAAGGCAGTTTTTGAGCTATCACTTTTCTGACAGTTCAGGCTAAACCACTAATGGCATAGCCTCTCAGCAACCGGCTATCGTTTTTTAGGTGTCTGGCAAATACGACGACAGCAATTCAGACGACAACCGCTTTTGGTGGGACCACTTTAAGACGACGCTACACGCTCTTTCCCTATTTGTATTTCTCAGAAAATCAAACCGCTTAAAATCGACCAGCTTTTTTTACATGTTTTAACGCTCATTTGTCGTCTTATGTTATGTCGTCCTAATGGCTTGTCGTCTTGTTTACCTAACACCTTGTTTACTATTAAGGGCGTCACTCACTTGTGCTGTTTGAGCACATTATGCAGCTGTTCCCTGTAGTTCATCTTCACACTCCTCAACTCCCTCGCCAGTTCAGCCGCCTCCGCCTCCCCCATCCCCTTATGACTCACTCTCCACTGAACAGGCACGACCACATTCCCTGTCGGACCCCACACTGACAAATCGGACAGCACAGTACCCGCTGTTTCCTCGCCAACCGCCCCCCTTGCCCCTCCAACTGTGCCAGCTGCAGCTTGTTTGTCTTCTTCCACATTGCTCAAGGCACTGGTAGTGCGTATGATGTGTTCCATGTTCACACCAGTCGGTCTCATCGCTTCTGTTGAGCCGAAGTACTTCGCATCCACTCTTCCCACCATCGCTTCTCCCTTTACTCCTAAGGCGCAACATTTACAACATTGTTTCTACCATTAGTGATCACAGCAAAAACAATTCAGGAAAATAGAAAAACAAACGTTTTCCCACCAAGTTTCGGTATTTTCTTGGAAAGTCATGAAAATTGAAATTGAGTTTCAAGAAATGGCAGCCATATTTTAAGACAGATGCCAAGCTGCGCTTTCCACCATTTCCGGTCCATCAAGTACAGGAAGAGAAGTGAGAACAGCATGACGCTCAAAAATTCGTAACAAAGATTTCGAACGATGTTACCATTAAAGGAGGAACTATAAAAAACAAAAAAATATATATCCAAACTCAATAACTATACAATGATTAGTATTTTTCATGTATTTTTTAAACTTTCAAGAAAATGAGATGTGAGTAGCACCATCATAAAAAATCGAAAAATCAAAACAGCCGAAAAACTAGATCTATCAAATTGCATAAAACTTGTTTTGAAAAAAAAACATGCCAAGACAAAAGAATGTGAAACAAAAAGCGGAAAAAAAGTGCCAAGTGGTTAAAAAAGCCGGAAAAACACGAGCAGAAAAAGAACAAAAAACGTTTTTTTAGTCTCCTTCTCCTAAAAACACACACATGAACACAAAGACTTTTTTCGCGCATCGAACGACGCAATATGAGGCCACTAAGTTGAGATATAGAAGGCCAACAAAATTTACAAAGTATTTACATTTAACAAATCGAGTTGGTAAAATTACACCAACTTAAAAAGCTAATTTCGAGTAGTACGGATAAACAAAATGCTAATATGTCCAAAATATGTCTGTTGCGGTAAATTTTTCACCAACAGAGGCATCCAGGATATGAGTATATGACCCCAGATGGGTCCTGTGAAAAAAAACGTTTCTCGGAAAACAGTATAGTACCCGGTTACAACTTACATGCTACCGCAGCGTAATACGGGCTGACATAGAAGAGATAGAACTTTCAAAAAGTATAATCAAAACAGCATCACAATAGGTATAAAATGACACCCCAAATGTAACAGGCCGACTATGTAACACTTTCAATTCTACTCTACCACACTTCCATAGACAATTTTGATCAACACTTTTTAGGAATAATCACCAATAAAAGCTCAGTGAAGCAAATTTGCATTGAGTCCTTGATATCTAATATCAATTAGACTCACTCTCAATTCAACATTAGTTACTTGAGTGTGCGTATTTCCAATTCCTTGAAAAAAATGATGTCGAAGAAACCATAAGCTAAGGAAAAAGCTTAGTAAAAAGTCAACTTTGTTTTAACCGCAAACTAACTTTTCGACTAGTTAAGCACAACTTTCAGCAATCGATATCTTGTAAGAAAGCATATCAAGTTTGTTTTACACAGGCAAAGATGAGCTTCGCAAATGAAAGCGAGAAAACGACTAAAACTAGCTGTAAAAAATGGAACAGTTAAAAATAAAAATAGGCCGTGAAAATTAAAAAGTTTGGCGTACTATTCGAACCTACTATGATAAATTGAAAAACTTCCTAGATGTTAATTATCGTTGTTCAGAAGTAAAATTAATAGGTTACTCTGAACGTGTTTTTCCGTTGCTAAGCCATAGCTGTAGCTTAGCGCAGACTGAACAATCTGGTTGCGATAGAACTTGGTCTTCAATGACCTCGGTATCAGTATAAGCCATAAAAGATGTTAGTTAACATAACATAACTCATCAAGGTAACTGTTAGCGCAGTACAACATTCCCCGCTCAGCCGAAAATTTTTTTGAATAACACATAAGAGCAAAATGTCTCATAACAGAAAGAGTTTTGGTACTCAGTTTGAGTTTTGTTGACAAAGTTTTCATCGGTACTTTCTTCTCGGAGTTCTAATTTCCAGCTCGAATTTTATGACTTTCGGGATCGAACGAGTTATACCCAATTTGTTCTGAAAGAGGTGCCGTTCCAGCAGCAAGACGTGTCTCATGTCTTTAAATTTAGATAAGATTTCTGTACGCTGCCGATGTCGCTTTCGCTAGACTCCCTCTGATTCTTCAGTTGTCGAGATTATTTTCACTGAGCTGTTCCCCTAGTGGTTTTCCAAAAGCCTACGGCTTAGTCTTATTGGACTTCTTGTCCCGTCTGCCTAAGCAGCGGAAGCAGTTACGCCGAGCTTTTCAGAATTATATATTATGCATTCTTACCATATTTAGTGCAACTATGGCACTCTGTTGTGCATGAGATATTGTCCACTAGTATGCAATCATCTATGACGGCTATCGATGGTTCCATAGTGGGATCATGTAAGGTCCCATCATTTCAAATCTCGGTTTGTCTCCTCTTTCAACGACGCGTCGTAGCCTATAAAGCCAGGTATACTCCGAGATCAATTCAGCCAGCAAGCTCTTGTCAATTATCTCGCGAGATTTGATAAACTTTACTTATCTTATTGCAAGGACAGTCTACAGCTATCTTTCCGTGACAGGAGTCTTCGTTTTGGTTCCACTACATGTTTTTGGTGATCTACGTCTTGGTTTTCATCTATCGTTAGGTCAACCTTTTCTATGTGGTTCGGTCCTGGCTCAATGTTGTCTGACTTGTTCAGCAAAAGTTCTCTCTTGGAGGTTTCTTCTGTCGTCGCACCTAATTCGATTGTTTCTCGGTGATTTGAGTTTTTCCCCTCCGTCCCTAGCGCTACGAACAATCATGAACTTAATCGTTTTTGAAATTCGTCGCAGTAGACATTATGCACCACATTCGGTCCTTTGTCTGTTCGTTCTTCATTTTCCTGCAATACCGTATCCAGTGGTAGTCTGTCTCTGAACTCTCCGGCCGTTACTGCAGCTGCAATTTCTTCAATTCTTGGAAATTCCGTTCTTGGTGGTTTTTACAATACCTCCCTCTTTTGGATCTACTAATAGCAGTTCTGGATTAATATTTTCTTTTAACCGTTAGAGTCATCAAGAAGTCTTCTAGCTATATCTTGAAATATTACAATGGGTCTGAATTAGATGCAGCCAAAAATAACGGTACTCCCATGTACGTCCGCTCCTTCTGCATTAGAAATCATGCTGGTCATCTGATAATCTGAAGAACTTCGTAGATGTGAAATTAAAGTTGTTCAGAAAGTTAACTCAATTTGATAATCTGAACGTGTTTTTCCGTTGCTTTGTCATAGCACAAGCCAGCCTGAGTAATTTCATTGAATACAACTAACTTGGTCTTTAATGACATTGGAATAAATATATTACATAAAAGATATTTACACCATATAATTCATCGAAATTACGGCTCGCAGTATCGCATCTACGGCCATAGGATTTGGAGTCGCACGTCGACGCATCTGCGCCATGGGCCCTTGAAAAATTACTAACACTATGCACCAAAAGAGCAGCTAGATCTGCTAAAAACTTTCTAATGCTGCATTTGTCGCACCAAAAGTAAATTGAAACAAGTTTTGCCTGTAATAATTTGAAGTAGAATAAATTAAAGGCTTCCACACTATTTTTTTTGTAAAAAAATTGGAAAGCATACAGCCAAATTATGTATAAAGAAAGCATTTCGAAAAAAATGCGAGATGAATTCAGTTGGGATATTTCTGAAACGCAGTTTCTACTTTTTTGCATTATGATTTGAAACAAATAACTTTTTAAGTTCAGTTGATGTTCTCGCTTCGCGGAAACTAGCGAGATCACGACAAAAAGAAGCTTAATAAAAAGCAATTAAAAGTAAAATAAGCCTCGAATTGTTGAAACTTCGGCTACGTCTCGGTTTCGCTCTGCGACCAAAAGAATATGAGTCCACGGTTTAGCCACGGACGCTTAATAAATCCCCAACACTAGCCACAAATAAAGCAGAGAATAGAGGCCATGAAATTTCATGAACAGATCATGATCATAGCAAAAAAGCCACCAAATTTGCATTAACTATGTTAAACTATTACATATCGAATGCCAAATCCCATGCTATCGAAAAGCGATTTAGGTTGCAAAGAAGAATACTCTACTATTACACTACGCTTTATAAAGTGATATAAAAAACAAAAATAAGCCTCGAATTAAAAAAAAACTTTGCTACATATTGGCTTCGAACATGCGACCTCAAGAATTGGCGTCTCACGCCCTGCCCTCTTGACCACAAATGCTGAAGTCGGCAAATCTTAGTCTCAAAAAAAGCAGGTACATATGCTAAAAAAATAGCCAATGCAATGTAGCAAAAGTGGCACTAAATACAAACAGACACAATTTTGCAAGTAATGGTTTGGAGTATAACAAACTGAAGGCATTAATAATAACTTTACATGTAAACAATTAGAGAGTATAAAGCCCATTATGTATAAATTATACATTTCAAAAATTGCGAGATATATTGAGTTAGAAATTTTCTGAAGTCGAATACTTATTTCTGTTATGTTATTTTAGGCAAATAACTTTTTTCGGTTCATTTGATGATTTAAAAATGCAACAACGGTGGTAACTTATTACTATTCTAATTTCAAAGCACATGCTACTGATAAGCCGTAAAAAAGCCACCAAAACCGACAACATTTCTTGCGACTTAGGTTAGGAAAAAAGAATAAACGTAATATTACACTAACGCTCTCTAAAGTTTGCTAGTGTAAATCAGATGATACTATCAGAAAAAACATAAGGAAACAAATGCTAAGTAGAAACGCTATTACGACCATGATTGAGTACCTACCCCACACGGAATGATAGATTTCACATTACTGTTTTACTTTCACAGTAGCGGAGAAGCTGCAATCTTTGGATCAATTGTCTTAGATTGCTTCAAATTGCACAAAGCCTTCACAGTCTGTGTATGACAAGCGCATGATTTTTAACGTTGTCGCTCAACTATTGTCCCTAAACACTCAAAGAGCGTGTAAAATCTCAATTCAGAAAAATTGAGAAATCACCATTAGGTGAGAAGCACTGGAGTCTAAAGACAGAAAAGTTTTATACGATTTAATTAATCTTCGTTTTGATTCAGATGTTCTTTAACAACATTTTATGGAACTCTAACACCTGTTAGATTTAGGCCATGAGCTAACCAAAACATTTCTGCAATTTATTAGCTCTGAGGTAGTTCCTAAAAAACTAATATCAAAACTAATATCAAAAGACAAAACCAAAACTACACTAGTGAGATATCCGGTCCCAATCATCCAGTTTCTATTGGAAATGGAAAGTGCTAATCTACTCAAAACAGAAACAGACAAAATTTTTGAACACTCTTTAACAGCTTTTGAATTTTGAGAATCAAATACTTTTTTGAGTGTTTTGAAAAAACAACCCAATTTGAAAAAACTGGAGCAATGAATTTTTCTTGTTTTTTACGTTAGAAAATTTTAAACCACTTTGGAAGCTTAAATTCGACCGCGTTTCACCCGCCATTTTGTAAACATAGGCGCTACGCGCAATACACCGAAGGCATAGAAACTGAAGCAAAAACCAAACAACTTGAACAACTAATAATTGAAGAATAACAGTTCTAGAACAAAAAATCGTACTAATACATGTATACACCAAAATTTTGCTATATCGAGAAAGAGCCTGAAATAACAGTTCTAGAACTAAAAATCGTACTAACACATGTATAGGTTAAATTTTTGATATATCAACGAAGATCATAAAATAACACTTCTAGAACTAAAAATCGTACTAACACATGTATACACCAAAATTTTACTATATTGACAAAGAGCCTGAAATAACAGTTCGTGAGCTAAAAATCGTACGAACACATGTATACACCAAAATTTTGCTATATTGGCAAAGATCATGAAATAACAGTTCGAGAGCTAAAAATCGTACTAACACATGTATACGTCAAAGTTTTGCTATATTGACAAAGATCATGGAATAACAGTTCTAGAGCTAAAAATCGTACTAACACATGTATACACCAAAATTTTGCTATATTGACAAAGATCATGGAATAACAGTTCGAGAACTAAAAATGGTACTAACACATGTATACAATAAAATTTTGATATATTGACAAAGATCATGAAATAACAGTTCGAGAACTAAAAATCGTAATAACACATGTATACACTAAAATTTTGATATATTGACATAGATCATAAAATAACAGTTCGAGAACTAAAAATGGTACTAACACATGTATATGCTAAAATATTGCTATATTGACGAAGAGCCTGAAATAACAATTCTAGAGCTAAAATCGTACTAACACATGTATACACCAATATTTTGCTATATCGACAAAGAGCCTGAATAAACGTTGTAGAACTAAAAATCTTACTAACACATATATACACCAAAATTTTGCTATATTGACAAAGAGCCTGAAATATTGACAAAGGACCTGAAATAACAATCGTAGAACTAAATGTCGTACTTACGCATTGTAGATCAATTTCTATAGCTATAATAAAATACAAAAGATTGTGTTTGTATGTGTAGCAAAACGCCTCCTGTTTTACACCTAATACAAGTATACACAGACCAGTTAATTGAAACTACAGTGTACCTATTACAAGTATACACAGATCAGTTAAACTAAAGAAACTGTGTACCTAATACAAGTATACACGATCAGTTGATTGAAACTACAGTGTACCTAATACAAGTATACACAGCAGTTGAAATAGAAAAACTGTGTACCTAATACAAGTATACACAGACCAGTTGATTGAAACTACAGTGTACCTAATACAAGTATACACAGCGGTTGAAAAAAAACTGTGTACCTAATACAAGTATACACAGACCAGTTGATTGAAACTACAGTGTACCTAATACAAGTATACACAAAAGTTGAAATATAATAACTGTGTACCTAATACAAGTATACACAGATCAGTTGATTGAAACTACAGTGTACCTAATACAAGTATACACAGCAGTTGAAAAAAAACTGTGTACCTAATACAAGTATACAGAGACCAGTTGATTGAAACTACAGTGTACCTAATACAAGTATACACAAAAGTTGAAATAGAATAACTGTACCTAATACAAGTATACACAGATCAGTTGATTGAAACTACAGTGTACCTAATACAAGTATACACAGCAGTTGAAAAAAAACTGTTCCTAATACAAGTATACACAGACCAGTTGATTGAAACTACAGTGTACCTAATACAAGTATACACAAAAGTTGAAATAGAATAACTGTGTACCTAATACAAGTATACACAGATCAATTGATTGAAACTACAGTGTACCTAATACAAGTATACACAGTTGAAAAAAAACTGTGTACCTAATACAAGTATACACAGACCAGTTGAGCTGCTGGCAGAAAATCATACAGTGACTAGCTAAAACTTTGTAACCACCTGTTCAGAATGGCAAGGGAAGAATTGAAAATGTTTTTTTTTAAGAATTAAGGTGTAAAATTTATTGGTCGTACATTAAAACAGATTGTAAATTCTTAAAACACGTAGTCCAAAATGCTCGTACTCTTCGACGTGACCTGCATTGTCAACTGTGGACGTTATTTGTCGACACTTGACAACAGACAACATTAAAAAAAAACCCCGTTACACGATACCATAACACCTTGACTAAAGTCTTCGGTGTAATTAGAGGGCGTAGTTTTCCTTCAATTTATCAAATGATTTGAGTAAAGCAATCAAGCAAACGCACCCACACAACCCGGTTAGAAATTAAACTTCATAAATATCACGTTCATGAACACCTGAGAACATACACGATACTGCAAACAACTGCGCGCAATAGCAATATACTAAAACCCACAAAAAACTTGACAACTAACCCGATAACGCGCACAAAATTTTCAGCACGCTTTGCTGATATCGAATATTGGCCAGATTCCTATAAGGCAGCAGAGCAAAATCCACTTGATGGAACCCAATAGCAGTGAGAAGCCTCCTGGAAGCAGCACATTGCCACACTTTCCTCACACCTCCATCCGAAATGAACATCTCTACGTCGGGAGCATGCTCTGACAGACTCAGAACGTCAATCACCAATGACACAAGGTCAACTGGGTTCAAACTACTACTCGCGTTGGTCTCGTCCATGACGACATCATTGCAATTAGCTGAGTCGAAAGTCAGAACAGCGCAAAGCTCTTCTAGAATCTTCTCATTGTCACGAATCAGAATCAAGTTTCTCAGAACCTCGCACGCTGGTTTAAGCAGTGAGTTTTTGTCCCAGTGCGGGAAAACAATAATTGGACGCAAATTATCCTCCTTGTCATCTGTAGATCCGTACGGTTGGAAGTCGAACCGCAGAAAATGTAGAAATAGGAGAATCTTTTTGTTTCCAATCAATCGATAGTCTTCTATTCTCTGCAAGTCAATGTTTTGAACACCCTGAATAGAAGCGTCAAGTCCACGCAACACCAGATAGAATAAAGGATCTAGCACATCTAACTGTGACATATTGTCCATTATCAGTTCAGCCAAATGACGCCTCAACTGTTGAAGACTTTGCTGCGTATTTAACAAGGGCATACCTTGAGACTTATCGTTCACTACATTCAGACAATCGTCGGCATTTGTTTTTTCCATTTGGTCAACCACTTGATCCAACATATCGTGAATCATCGCTTTACCGTCAATTGCAACGTCCTTTCCAGCAAATTGCATTCCCTTCCAATGCTCTGGACTTGCATATTTGGGGTCTTTTTGCATGTGAGCTTTTGCATAGTCAAGCGCCGCACTGATATGGCATTTTGGGTCAATTTTACGAATTGCTCTGTAGAAATAATGCCAGAACTTGGTGACCGAATCAGTGGCAATAGCGTGGGACGAGTACACTACACATTGGACACCCAGTGCCAACATGAGGGTGATGAGATTGAAGAAACTGGAGTAGTGTTCGTGTCTCTGAGTCGGGAATGAGCTGAGAACGAGTAACTTAATGTGACTCAAATTGAGATCGAGAAGATCGCGCAACTCAACACAGCACACTTCGTGATCCACACTTTTCATTTGTTGGTACAAAACATTCGGAGTAAATGCCAGAGTGCACGATTCGTAGCTCATGTGAGTTGCCACATGCAAACAGGTGCTTTGCACTATCGCACGCAGAGCATCATCCTTAGTGCACTGCTCGCCCATCAGCGCAGTGTCTCGAAAGTAGTGAGAGCACACTTTGAGCTCCTCTTGTGCGAATCGCAGATTCTTCAAAGGCTTCCAGGTGAACATGGGGAATTTGACGGACGTCGGCATGACAGGTGCTCCAATAAATCGAAACAATTTGTTCTCTATAGCGGGCGAGTATGTCTCAACTGCAATGCTTGAGCTACGCACGTGTTTCTCGTTCCAAGTTTTCGAAATGATTGTCGAGAAGCTCTGCTCAATTCTGCGATAAGTCTTCAGTCTGTCATTTTGTTTAGAGTCAGCTGACGAGAGCTGACTTATTGCAGACAGATTGTCAGAGTGCTGGTGATTCGACATTGGACTACTGTTACTTTTATCGTTGCCCTTCAAATTGTTCCGAGTAGCTTCAGTGTCAAGCTTCACCACAGTTCCTCGACGCTGTCCCTTCCCACTGCTCAAGCTAGCTCCTGCTCCGTACTTCACACTGCTTGCGTCTGTTTTCAGGGACTCATTGTCCAGGCCGTAGGATAACCTGTCCAACGCAACCTGGTCATAGCCTAACTTGTCCAGGGCAGGGTTGATACCCTTGTACATTGAGCTCAAATCTGCTTTGTCTCCACTGGCACTTTCTATCTGTCGCTTGTACTGAAGAGAGGGCACTTCTTTCAAGCCAGCGTTTAACCCTTCCGACAAATTGGTCCAGCCGAGCAAATTAGCGGCAGTTCCTGAGCGCGAAACACTAACCGATTCATCCATCTTCCTCTGCCTTTCCTCTTGAGAGTCCTTCTTACTTCTGTTGTCGGCTTGCATCAGAGCGGCATTGAAAGGCGTCTCGTGTTCTTTGTTGTCTGCCGAGTAATTCGCCCAATGCATCATTTGGACACTAGTGAATGACTCAGTGGTAGGACATTCTAAGGTGATATTTTGCTGCCAGAACTTGCGGAACATTTCCTGGAAAGGAGCCATTCCCAGCAAACCATTGCTTATGAAGAACAATTTACGTGCCGATTGCAGCTTTTTCAGTTCCTTCTTCATTGGATCAAAGATATAGTGACAAACATCCTTCTCAATTCTCGCTTCAATTTCATCTGAGTCCATCTTTGGCAGTATTTTGACGAGCGACTTGCTATTCAGAATGATCCGGTTTTCGAATCCATACAATCCCGAATTGCGACTAGCGAGCGAATGGTAAAACATCTCTAGCATTTCGTACATCGAACTCTCCGAAGATTCCTTTGTGTGCTTGTGAAAACTTTGGACTCCCTTCGCAGAGCTGAGCAACCAAATGAACAAAGCTTCTTCTGACAGGTGGAAATACAAAATAGGGCTTTCCTGTTCATCCACACATGCCTGGAAGTACTCCAATGTTACTTTATTCTGCAGAATTTTTCGATAATTCTCACAATTTCTTCCCGCTAACTCCGATCGCTGTGAGAAGTAGGCACATAATTTAAACCTTCGGAATGATTCACAGGCTAATAGAGCAGCCTGCAAGTGACTCAACTTTACCAGAATGTTAACATACGCATTGGATACTTCCTCCAGCACTCTGTACTCTTTGTTGTTGAAGTGCGAATCACGCGCGAAAACATGCAGCGCCTCCTGTTCGAAGTCTCCGATGACTTCCTCTAGCAGCGACCTTGCACCCTCTAACTCGCTCTTAGAGCCAACACTTTGAACAGCAACTGCTGATTTAACCATGCAACGCCTATAGATAGCTGCCGATATGGATTTTTGCATCGCAAGTCCCACATTCAGGCTATGAATGGCTTCTGCGGGATGCCCTTGAGCTAAATTGCACTTGGCTAACAAAATGAGCGCCTTGCATTCTAAGTCGCGGTTTTCTCCCACCTTCTTACTTTGCTTCACACAATCTTCCAGATATTTGGCGGCAGAAGTGAAATCTTTAATTTCGAAATTCAGTTTGCCCAATTTGTAAAGAGTTGTGCAAAGTCTTTCCAAGGCAGCACTGTGTTGTTTCGTAGCATTCTGCACTTCGTTCAGACAAAGACTAAGCAAATCATTGAAATGCTCCAACGATACTGCAAAATTCTCCAACTTTCGCTCGATGGAACCGCAAATCAATAAGGATTCGTGGAGTTTATACTGGCTCCGTTTCGATAGTTCCAAAAACGTATGAGCATATTTTTGCGCCTCGCAAAAATTTCGTTTTTTCTTCATAATTCGACACAACAGGTAACATTGTCGACATGTAATTTCTCGACTGGTACCTTGTACTTTCTCAGCTGTCGGCTCTGGGTCGTCTGTTTCATTTTCAACCTCAGCGGCCAGGACTTGAAGAGCTCTTGCATTCGATTCCGCCAAATCCATTTCCTGAAGTTCTAGAAAACACTCGCTTATGGCACATAGAGCATCTACCTTTTTAGCAATCACATCCAGGTTCTTTTCAACAACCCGCGTCGTATCATTTGGACCGGGCAAGCGTAGTTCCAACAGACAGAGGTATTTCTCAAAAGAGGATGCCGCCTGGAAGAACTGTTTCATGTTGAAATAGATTGTGCCTAATTCGTACCTGGCCTCTGATTCTACAGACACTAGTTGCAATCTCCACGCTCTAATGATGCACTCATGGTACGTTGCTACTGCCCGCTCTAAATTACGCTGCTCCCACATTATTCGAGCACCCGTCAGCAATGCTCGGGTGAGAACATCTTGGGGAACTGAACTCTCAAGATGGATCAGACACTCGATCAAACTTTGAGCCGGTGCGAACTTCTGTCCAGAAAACAAAAGATTGGCGTAGTGCTGCATCTGTTCGAAAACAGACACACCAACTTCGAAGCCCTCAGACTGTTCAATGTTCAAAAGTTCTCGACATATCTCGAAGACGGACTGTTCAACCTTCGTCTGCAACTCTTCTGGCTCCATCAGTAGGAGCTTCAGTGCAAACTCCAGCGCTGTCTCGTTGTCCCCTTGCGCCCTGTGTATATTCGCAATGAGCAACAGAGCCTGCAGCTGCACTTCCTTCTCGTTATTGAATGTATTCAGCAGTGCATTTGCATCTATCAGAGCTTTTTCGAACTGCTCGTTCAGGACGAACGCATTAGCTCGTGCCGTTAACAAGCTCGCATTGAAGCTATCAATTTCCAGAGCTTCCGAGAAAAGCTTGATAGCTGATTGCACGTTGTTTTCATCCAGGCACTTGTTGCCTAGCAGGAGAAGCTGTTCGATTTGCTCTATCTCCTCCGTCTCGGCGATCGTGTTCGCGCCCACAGGACCCAGCTGCACCGGGTTGGCCCCAAAACTGGGGCTCATATAGTTTGCCAGGGGAATATCTACTAGCTCCATTGCACAACAGGGCAGGTCACAATGCTATCATTTTCAAAACAAAACCAATTACGTCCAAAAGAAGTTTACAGCAGCTACCGAAATTACAATGAACTGAAACATTTAGATCTGAAATACAAAGACGTCCGCTTTTTACGTCACCCTTTCGAGATACTTAACACACTTACACCACTTCAAAATATTTGTAAGGCAAATCTATCTCGTTAATTTTAGGCAAATCGCCCAATGTTTGGTTGAGGCATTCTGTTTCACTTAATTGCTTCTGCACCTTTCTGCATAATGCACCCATCCCTCGCCTTCGCATCACATCTACAGCGTCTAAATATAGACATCCGAAAAAGATTTAGACGCCCGAAGAACTGTGTATTTAGTATTAACTTACTTCGGCAATGACTTCAACCGCTCCGAACCATAAATTGAAATAATAATGCGAACAAAACGAGGCACTGGTTTTCTTGTTGCACAGAATATTCCACGTATAGTAATCATTACCAAGTTATAGTTGCCCCCAAAAAGATTAGACACGAGTATATCAAACACAACACAATTATATACTGTGAAATACTCCTTAAAAATTGTCTGCTCGTCTCATGAAGTAAACATTGTAAAGGGCCAGTCATCACTCCATCTCATGCACCGCTTTTTCCGACCATTCAAAGTGAGGAGGAACTTTGTATTCCGGCTTCAGTTGTTCCAGTCTTTTGGAAAGAGTTAGAAGGATAATCCGTAAAATTTAAGTTGAACTCTTGCAAAATTCATATGATCATAATACCATATTAAAGCCTTTTTGGTCCTGATTCAAACGAAATTTAAAAAATTTTCGTTAGCTGTCTCAGTGTCGAGAAAAACTGCTTCAAAATGTTTAAGGTTTCAGTACATTTCCGAGCAGTCAAGAAAGCTAGCAGACTTATTATCAAAGGACAAGCCGTTAAACATAAGTGTTTTTCGAAGCCTTTTTATCTCGCCACGCCCAAAAAAAAGACACTAATTGAAAAAAAAGAAAACTTCTTATGTATTTAAATATATATTTAATTCCCAACCATTTATCCTTGTTTGTAATCTGGTTTCTAAAAAAAACATGTTACTCAAATCTAAGAATCTTTCAGTGATTGGAGCACACATAAATAGCAAGTATGTTTGTTTTTTATCAGAGAAGAGGTGCAATGCTGAGAGCAGCCGCCAATAAATCTTCGTCTTTGTTCCGTGCTCCATCTACTTCTATTCCGACAGGCAGTCCACGCACACTAGCCGGGAGAGAGATGGCAGGCGATCCTACACAAGACGCCAGACTGGTATTCCGAATAAACGTCCAAAACATCGGAACTCTCTGTCCATTTAGTGCGACCAGATCATCAACCCCAATTTTAGTGGCACGCAAGGGAGTCGTTGGAAAAATGATTCCGTCGAGACCTTCAATTGCATGGCTGTAAACTTCTCGCATCTTCGGCAGCGTTTGCTTCAGCGCAAACTCATAGCTTTCTCGAGTAACTAGATTCCTTTCCAGCGCTGATTGGTAGCTTTTCTTCACATCTGGCGATGCAATCATAGCGACTAAGTGTTCCACTGAAATATTAGGAGCATATGTATCCAAGTACCTCCTAAGACTGGGTATCATTTCAAAATTTGTGACAGTCTTCCTAAACTCAATTGTGAATTCCCAAATTTCCTCGAGTTTGTTCGTTACATCGACAATTTCAACTCTCGCCTCTTTCAATTTCTGAAGAACTGAAGAAAAACAACTCTCAACCTCTGGTTCCAAATTTTCTGTCAACACTTTTCGGTCGATTCCAAGCTTCATGTCACTCAGCTTTTTCGGATTTAGTTTGAAATTGAGACCTTTTGTCAAAATAGCATCTAGCAAGACTACGTCTTCTACATTGTTAGCCATAGGTCCAACTGTATCCCGAGAGGGTGAAATGGGAACAACTCCTTCGGAACAGTAGCGACCAATCGAAGGCCGAAACCCAACAATTCCGCACAGCCCCGCCGGGATTCGAACAGATCCCCCAGTGTCTGATCCCAGTCCGAATGGTACAATTCCAGCAGCAATCGCAGCAGCTGTTCCTCCAGATGATCCTCCAGGAATACGCGTCGCATCATGGGGATTGCGCACGGCTCCCGTAGCATAATTGTTGCTCGTTATTCCAAGCGCCAGTTCGTGCATCCCTGTTTTTCCCACCAAAACTGCTCCTTCCGCTAGAAGACATTCTATCAGAGGAGAATTATGCGCAGTGACGTTTGACAACAGTGCTTTTGTTCCAGCAGCTGTTGGAAAATGAACTGTGTTAATATTGTCTTTCGCCACAAATGGGACGCCGTGTAGTTTTCCCTGGCGCAATTCGGAACAGCTTCTTGGCTCATCTTCAGGGACTCCAAAGAATGTGAAGGCGTTCAAATTTTTATTGTTTGAAATTGAATCTATGACAGTCTTCAGAAGTAAGTCAACTGAACTAACATCGCTTTTAATCATCGAACGAACGTATGAGATTGAGTGCAACTTTGCAGTCATCTCAGAGCTAGAGCAAACATCTATTGCATGCCCACGATAAACCACAACTCTAGCTTCATGCACTATCCGACAGTATTGACAAGATTAACTATTCTGAATATTTGTGATATTAAATGTCGATTAGAGCGCGATAAAAATCTAATCTAAATCAGCTTCTAGTTAAATAAATAAAAATATTAACCAGCTTCTAGTAAAGAAAAAAAATACAAACCGTGAAAGTCGGACCTAAATCTGGAAAGGCTCAATTAATGCTTAGTCAAACAAAATCGAAGCTGCAGTTCTTTTTTGAAGCATATTGAACCCTTGGACCCTTTGTTGACTTCTAGTTGTTAAGAACTTTGCTGAACTAAAGCGGTCATATCAAAATATATATTCAAAAGAAGTAAGGAGAAAAAAATTCGATTGCACATCACATTTTTATTGAATTTTTATACAAGGATTAATAATGGCATCATATATTTGAACATATTCATTAGAAATTGTGATACAATGAAATCAATTGAATATTTAAAATAGTTAGATGTCAGAAGACTGCTTTTCCGAGGAACTGGCTGAGTTTAGTAATCAACAATGATCAATGATACAATTATGTTACTAATCATTTTGCGAGCAATTCTATGCAAAACAATCTGCTAGAACAACTTTTCCAACGGAAACTGCCCTAAATTTCATGTATAAAAAATACTGAAAAACGAAAATAAAGAAATCGATTTTTTTAACACCTCAGATAGTGAAAAAAAGACAAAAAACGGCCAATTTTTTTAATACCTATTGCAGTAAATTGTTGTGTCAAATTTTACATCCTTGAAAATCGCAGCTTGATCTATCTATGTTAAGTAAGCTTTAAGCTTTGACTGACACGACAACTTTCATTCCTATATTCTGTTTTTATAGGTGCGTCACCTTTCTCTCGTCCGGGCTGTTTTTGTTCGACTTCAGGTTCAACTCAAAAGTGTTTGATGGTAATTAAATTCAGGATGACGAATACTTATCCAAATATACAAGGCCTATAGAACTGCTAGAACATGATTTATCAATTATCGAGATTTATGGGTCTGCGAGTAATTTAAGTAATTGCCTCCCTTCCTAGAGTCCTATAGGCAATTTCTCTCCCTTCAAATCGGCAGTAAGCTCTAATAAGTGAATCCTTTCTTGCAATATAATTCCTCAACTTCAGTGTCGCTAACGCACTTTAGCGTTTATACTATCACTCTGACTATCATTATTCTCCTAAAGGATTTCTAACTCGTTTCGCTCACGTACTTCAGCGTTTCAACTATCACTATTCTCCGAAATCAATTCGACTTGAAATTTCGCACTCGCGTCGCTACCGACCGACTTGCCCTTTTCAGCTTGAAATTATTTAGCCTCATGGAGGCTTTCCGGTATTCTCCAAATCCTGATCTTTCTTTTCACTTAGTTCTCTTCAGTGAGTTGAAGTGACGCCATTCCCTATCAGTTCTGGCATCCGCCTAATTCATTGCGCCGCACTTGATTTATAAATCCATCTCTCCCTATCAAGACTGACAAGTGCCACGGTTTCCTTGATCAATCTCGTCACGCTTATTAGATACAGGTATGCGGCAGGCTTCACGATTTGATCCACGCAAACTAATGTCGTACGATCCTAGTCAACCAATTCCTGACCTCCGAGAATTCTAGCCCCCGAGTTAAGCTCATCCTCCAAACTATGTTTACCCAGTTAGCCTCCCAAGGTTTTTTTTAAGTCTGAGCGATGGCTGAGGTCTTATCCAGATGTTTGGGTTGCAACACCTGTCATGAATATGCTGAAAGACCTGAAGATCTCCATTAAGTTCTTCAAACCCCAAAATCGGCAACCGAGGAAAAACTGATGTAGACAAATGTGTTAGCCAAATTGACTTCTCTGGTCAACGCAAAAACACACCACTTAGAGCAAGAAAGAAGTTCAAGAAACTTGCTGATGAATGCCGTATTCAACCTTTGGATGAGATAAAGACGCCGCGAAAAAAAAAACCTCGCTAAAAACCTCGCTTTCTTATGAACGACTTTATCTTCCGACAGCAGTATTCTTGATGCTGATACCTTTCGGCAAGTGGTCATAAACTTAATGACTATATTCCTAATTAGGGACATACTGCAGTCGTCTCGGTTGGTGAAGAGGCAGCACAATATGAGGAAACTTGACCTGACTACCACCACGTACCGAAAGTTGATATCCACTATGTGGGCAGAAACAGTGAGCGAGTCGCGAGAGAAAGAACCCCTAACCAAACACACCGGCCACTCTGCAGCGACTGCAAGACAATTCTATGACATTGAGCGAGAGAAAATGTGGAATACCGCTTTTACGAGCCACCACATAGATCAGCCTATTGAAACAAATCAGCCCAATCCATCAGCAATCAGCCCTCCACATCCAACGGTAGAAAGCGATAATGAAGAGATAACGTCGGTGGTTGATGATCTTGATGATTTGAGTGACGATGAGGTAGAAACATCAGATAAAGATACATCTCAGCCTTCAAAAGAAGTAACCATTAACTTTCTGCAGTCAGAGGTTAAGAGACCAATCAAGGAAAACACACCAGAAAGTTAAGACTATCCTAAGATAGCTATGTCGTATATTGTTTATAGACAAATTGTTGAATTTCAGTGCGAAGAGTGCCTGCCTATGAACCTGAATTCTCAAAAACCGACATCTATTGACGTCATTCTGAGCAGCGCAAAACGAGGTGATATCGGAAATATTTTGGCAAGCTTCATTGCAACCTGAAGTTTACCATCGAAGGACAAGAAGCTGGAAGTCTCCCTTTTCTGGATATACGCGGGAGACAAACAGGATCTGACGTAGAAACTTTCTGATACAAAAATAAACAAGAGATACTGTGCTAACTCTCGCTTTTAAATCTCAGACACAGATGCACTATAATAAAAACATTGTACAAGGACTTTTCCAATGCGTTGTCAATGCCTTGTGCAACGTTTATTTTTTCACAGTAAGTATTACTAAGGTCAACTGCATGCCGGAAAAAAATCAGTAACCGCCTCAATTTTAGCAAGCCGTGAAATACATCCTTGAGAAACAAGATGGGAGAGAAGACGTAGACAGAGGTCACGGGAAAATCGGTCAAAAACAGATCCTATTCTTAAACTTTATAAAGGCAATACAAGTGATGTTTTTATTAAATGCCTCCGAAAAGCAGCCAACCAGATTAATGGAGACCTCATTACCATCGAATATACCGGAAAATCTAGTAGTCGAAAAGTCTAATACACCGGAAACTGTTCGTATTTCGCATTACCATCACTAAAGTCGAATATATCTGAAGCCATTCTGGTCGTATTAAAATTCTCCTAAATCTGCAACTGACGCTCATAGTACGATATCGTATTCAAAGCAGCGACTTTTGAATCTTCCAACGACTTTATAGTTATTTGTTTTTCATAGCACATCATACTAATATTCATAATAATATTGATAACACAGAGGCGAAACGGAGCTTCGCACCACTTGCGATAGATCACAATAAAAAAAACAAGTCGAAGAAAAAGGAAAAAAGGTGAAAAAGAAACAAGAAGAAAATCTCCAAAAACAGGTTCTTATTACAGAATTTCCAAAACCCATAATCTTTTTTTTCTGAAAAAAGCAGGATACGGCCACGTCATATGGCCACTGCAAAGATTCTCAAAAACGGGTTTCCTGAGAATTGGCACGGTATTTTTTGCTAGTCCAAACGTTTACAATAAACTGAAAAAGTTTCAAAAATTGTATAAGAAAAACAGCGAGTAGCCGCTAAAGCAAGGGAGCTTCCCACTACCCGTTATCTCCATTGAGCCCACAATAACAGATTTGAGAGATTGGTTTTCGAGAAAAGTCAAAAAGATTCACAAAACTGTCAAAAATCAACAACTTGACTATTCCGAGGGCCGTAAGGCAAAAATGAGCGTAGCCGCTTTTGCAGAGAATTGTTCGAAGCCTTTCTATCCATTGAAACTTAAAACTCAGATTTCAGAGGGGGTAGTTTTCGAGAAAACGACAAAAAAATATGGGTCAAATATTCCCCCACAGTTTTTTCGAATCCTGTAGACAGAGGGGTCAAATAAAAAAAGACTCTAGGGGAGTCTGCATTCACACATGGGAGAAGGCGGTCTGTGAATTGATACCCCTTTTGGAAAATCAGAAACATCAATCTTTCATAAAAACAGGCCTTGAAAAGTAATCATAAAAAACGAAAAGATGTAAAATGTCAATGCATTTCGAGTAACAAAACTCATCATCAGGACATATCTGAAGAACCAAAGAACACTGTAAAAAGAGCAATGAAATTACACACACTGGTAGCACCAGAAAATTTTTTAAAGAAGTTTTGGGTTGGCGACAACGAAGTTGCAACAATACTGAACTACAAGTGTCCCCATTTGAGACAATGAAATCTCACTAACAAGTCCTTCGATTTGAATCCGTCGCAAGTATTGATATATGGTCGTAACTGGGAAATATTCAGAGCTTCCAAAGATAAAAAAAAATTTGACAGACTGTTGCTGCTTTTAATAATTTTTGTACTTGACGGAATTGTTGATTTTGGAATATTGCAAGCATCAAAATATTGTCGATTTGGAGTAGCCTTTTAACTATGTTCGCGAAGACGAGTCTTAAGTTGACGGACTGTTTGCCCGACATATAGGGCGTTTCACCCCATACAAGTAGTTTTATACACGACACGATTAAAAGAACGATTTTCTCTGGTTTTCAAGGCCTGTTTTTATGACAGATTGATGTAAGCTTGCATTTTTGGTAAATGTAAAAACCTGTTACTTTTCTTGACCTATTGCAGCTCAAACTTGTTGAGATCCTGCTTTAACCATGCAAACAATTTTAAGGCTAAATAATTTGAGGTCCATTTTACCATTTTTTTAACCAAAAATTAACGCACAAGATTTTTTGCTGCATAGAGCTAACTATTTTTGATTAACTTACCAAGTCACTCGCACAAGGACTATTCAAAAAAACTTATAAAGAGAGATTTCCACTGTAGCAAAAAAATTGAACAAAGTAAACGATGCTATGCGGCGAATAATTGCAAAATTAACAATTTTTACACTATTTCGGAAAAATCCCAATTTGTACAGAAAATTCAGTTTATAAGAATATTGCTGGATAAAAAACCGTTTCCGTGGCGTCTTTCGACTATTTAAGTAGAGGGCGTAGGAGAGGTGTTTTCAATACCGATAAACCACTGTTAACTGCAGAAGCAATTTAAAAACTGCCGAAGAAATACAAAAAATCGACTAAGCTACAAAAAAATCCGTTTTTTTT